GGGTTATTTGCGTGGGCGGGTTATATGGGTGAAAATACGGTAATAGCTTTAATTATGTTTCTAGCATTGAGCTTTGATTTTAATATTTTGCGGACCCTCCTGATGTATTCCTTTTGCATTGACTCTTTGACTTTTCCATTCAAGATGCTATTTGCTTCCAATATGCCTAAGTATTTATTACCATCATCCTTTGCTAATGCTTTCACTATGCTTCCATTTCCCAGTTCTATTTCTTCTATTTTTTCCATTTTTCCTCACTGCATGGATAATATAGCACATTTTTCAAATCCAAAGTTTATTTTGATGTCACTGCTGAACAGTTGAACTGTGTTGAGGATTTATTTAAGTTGAGTGGGGCTTTTGGCATACATTTTTAAGTCAACATCAGACGAGGAATCTTCCAAGGGGACTCACTTTCACCACTACTGTTCAACATCGCATTAATTCAACTGACAATAATCCTATGAAACACAAAACTTGGGATACCAAATCTCAAGGCAACATGGCAAGATAAACCATCTACTATACATGGATGACTTAAAAATGTATGCCAAAAGCCCCACTCAACTTAAATAAATCCTCAACACAGTTCAACTGTTCAGCAGTGACATCAAAATAAACTTTGGGCTTGAAAAATGTGATACATTATCCATGCAGTGAGGAAAAATGGAAAAATTAGAAGAAATAGAACTGGGAAATGGAAGCATAGTGAAAGCTTTAGCAAAGGATGACGGTTACAAATACCTAGGCATATTGGGAGCAGATAACATCTTGAATGGAAAAGTCAGAGTCAATGCAAAAGGAATAAATCAGGAGGGTCCGCAAATTACTAAAATTAAAGCTGAATGCTGGAAATATAGTTAAAGCCATTAATGCATGGGCAGTTCCAGTGATATGCTACTCAGCTGGAATCATCAACTGGACTTTGACTGACCTGGAAAATCTGAACCAGAAAACGCAAAAAATTTTGAATATGTATTACGCTTTACATCTGCAAAGTGATATTGACAGGTTGTACCTGCCACAAAAAATAGGGGGCAGGGGGCTACTGCAAATCCATCAAACTCTGGAAGGAGAAAAATGAAGTTTGAATGATTATGTGAACCAAAGCACTGAAAGATTGCTGCAGGCTGTGAAAATGTAGAACATTATAGTAACAACAGAAACAAAGGAAAAACAGCTGGATGACAGAGTAAATAGATGGAAAACCAAATCTTTGCATGGACAGTACTTGAAAAACATTGGCAAATGTGATGACAACTTGACAAGAACATGGTTTAAGAAACCATTAAGAAAGAAACAGGTTTAATGTTTGCTGCTCAAGAACAAGCACTACAAACGAATCCCATGAAAGCGAAGATACAATAGCAATAGTAGTTAGACTTATATACCGCTTCATAGGGCTTTCAGCCCTCTCTAAGCGGTTTACAGAGTCAGCATATCGCCCCCACAATCTGGGTCCTCATTTTACCCACCTCAGAAGGATGGAAGGCTGAGTCAACCTTGAGCCGGTGAGATTTGAACCGCCGAACTGCAGGTAACAGTCAGCTGAAGTGACCTGCAGTACTGCACTCTACCCACTGCGCCACCTCGGCTCTTCGAAATACAAAATACAAAAATCCACTGACAATCCAAACTGCCAACTTTGCAACAACAAAGTTGAAGCTATTTCACATTTAATATGTGAATACAGCAAAATCACAAAAACAAAGGTAGGCATGATCAATTTGCTAAATTAATCCACAGGTCATTATGTAAAAAATACAATTTACCAGTAAATGGAAACAAAAAGTGGAAAAAGTTATCAAAAATGAGAAGGTAAAGATCTTGTCTCACTTCTGAATACAGACGGATCGTCACTTGGAACACAACATGCCAGATACCACAAATGTCAAAAACCGAAGCGTACAATTTATTGACATCGCAGTACCAAGAAATGCCAGAGTCGATGAAAAAGAACTGGAAAAAAAATACAAAATACTGCGGCCTGGCCATCGAAACTACCCGATTATGGATGAAACATGTAACAGTGATACCCATTGTCATTGGGGCACTTGGTACCATGTCCAAGAATTGTATAAGATACAACAACAAATTGCAGCTTCCTGCAATAACACCAGCGGAACTGCAAAAAAACTGCACTACTCAGAACATTGTATATTTTAAGAAGGTACTTGGTTGATACCTAGGACACTGGCAGCAATCCGTATCAACCATTAGCACCAGTCATTGGTATTTGTGATACATTTTTGAATGTTCAGTTGACTGAGTCATGTTTAATGAATAAAGTATATAATAATATTTTTTTTAAAAAATCTTCATGTAGAGAAAAAAATGGCGAATTTTCACATTTGTAAAGAAGTCTGACCTCCCACTTGAACCGTTTCCATAATATCTGCTAGGGTTATTTTTTTTCCCCTAAATACAAATTGGAAATTTGGGAAGGGAGGGTAGCGCCAGTCTGACACAGTCTGTAGAGGTTTTGCAAAATCAATCATGCCCTGGTTTATTATAAATATGCCAATGGTGAATCAAAACTTGACAGCTGCACCTGAAAGTTAGAGCTTCAGTGTAAAACAAAGAAATGCTAAAGAAAAAAAGAATTTATTCTTTGAATTGGGCATATGATATTCCTGTTACTGTGATAATCTACGTAGCAACATTTTTTAGTGGGGGAGGTTGACAATCCTGGAGTGTGGCTGATTTGACATTCTCATCATGAAATATATTTAGGAGACAAAATATCTTGTCTTCTCCCCTCTCATCTGTCTTCTTCAATTTTAATACAGATTATTGGTAATCTAGTTGAACATTGCCTTTCCTAATGCTTGTTTTTGTGCTCTGAGGTTTCGGTTAATCTCTTGAGAGATGAACTCATATCTGTCTTATTTATATGACTAATTACAACATATTCTTCCTCTCTCTCTTCCTCTATCCCTCTCTCTCTCCCTCCCTCTCTCTCTCTCTCTCTCTTCCCTTTTGCCAGGGATGAATGGCAGAGACGCTGCACAGAAATTGTGGCTATAGATGCTTTTCATTTCAGACGTTTTCTGGATCAGTTCGCTCCGGAGAAAATTAGAAGAGAGCTGAACAAGGCCAGTAACTTCTTAATCCCTCTTGCCCTGTAAGGTTTTTCCTTTCTTTTCTTCTTTTCAGCTGTGCCCTTAATGTTGGATTGACCCTGTGGGTTAAAAACAGCCAATCCACTAAAAAAAAAAAAAGGAAAGTTTATCGTGGCATGCTCTTGAAAAACCAAGGCTGCCAGGGGCTGTGAGCTTTTTGTCTGCCTGCAGGCTTTCTGTGGTTTCTCTCGTCCCGGTCTCCCTCCACATCACCTTCCAGCTGTTGCAACAGGAAACTGGGGCTGCGGGGCTTTTGGAGGCGACTCAAGACTGAAAGGTAAACCTGACTCTCCTTGCAGTTAAATCTCAGGGGGTTTTGGCTGCCGTGAGCGCTCGCCATTTCTGCAGCTTCAGGCCAGAGGAATGTAGGGCACGGATGGGACAGGGGAAGGCTGAAATCAAGCTCTTTCTTCTGCTCTCAAATTCTGTATGAACACTGACTAAGCAGTCCAGGCAGTTCAAATGAATATAAAGGTTTATTGCAAGCTTAAGCTCTTGACAAGAATCTGAACTACTAACAGTCCAAAGCAAATAGACAGTAGATGTGAGTCAAAGGAATTCAAGTGGGGTTGGACTTAGATCTCTTGTGAGCAGGAAAGTATTCAAGACTGATGACACGCTTGACCTCTCCCTCGGGTTCAGCATAGTGGTCATCTCCTGTAAATTAATTTCACTTTGCAGTTCTCTGGTCTTCTGTCCTCATCATGCTGTCCCAAGTATAGGAAGTGCATCGCTTCTTTCTTAGCAGAGGGTCGCCTTCCTGTCACCGTCATTGCTACTTGAAAAGAAAAGTCATGTATTCTTAACGAGGACTTTTCATGAAAATCAAGTTACTGAAGCTGCAGAGAATTCATAGCCTCTGTCATAGCTTGATTAAAACCACCATTCTTGCTGGAAATTGAACTCATGTGTCCCCCAATGATTTAGGTGTGGGCTCCATTAGAGACCCTGATGCTTTCTTGCATTTATATATGGAAGTTTTGTCTTTCCAAGGACTTTTTTTTAATGCAATTCAAAGTTAAATCCTATCATTTTGAACAAATAAAATATTCACTTAAGGTTGATCAGTAGACACATCATCTCCTGTATAGGGAAACATCTAAGTCAAGAGATAAAGTAACCATCGGCCCTTCTCCCCCTTGGCTCCCCTTGTCTTGACAGCCCAGCTGAAAGAGAAGCAGCACATGTTCCCTGCTGCTGAATTACACTTTCCATCTTCCCAGGAGAAACTCACCTAGATAACGTCTCTTGAAGGCAGCCACAGTTTCTCCTTGCCTGGAGCTGGAGAAGCATCCCAGTGCAGGTCACCTGTTGTAGAAAGTCCATTTCAGATGAAAAATGGGGTCCTCTTCCTCCACTTCGTTGATCACTGTCTTCTCTTCATTTGCTTTAGCCTTAATACAGATCTTAGCAGCTGCTGAGGCTGGACGCGACGTGGTTTATTTCACCTTTGGAGATGCTGAATTGATGAGAGACATTTACAGCATGCACACGTTTCTGAGCGAGAGGGGCCAAGTGGTGGGTATGTATCATCTCCCTTCCCTTGAAGAGCACCGTGGACAGCACAGAAGGGAGGCAATGCTTACTAGGATAGGTCAAGGAAAACACCTTGGAGATTTTTTTAAAATAAATCTGAATTTGGTATGGACAAGTCAAATTGGGGTGAACTAAATTTGACAGAATAATTTTATTGTCACTTTAGACTAATCAGCATACATTAAAATGAAACTTCATTGGATGGAGCTCTCAAATATACACTATATAATCATGACAGAATAAATAAATGCAAAATTATGCATATACCTGCATATGTTCCATGACACAGAGAAACAACACAGTCTAGTTCGGATGTATGAGGGTGTAGGGTCTCTCATGAGCCTTCGAGCTTTAAGCACATAGCACTTATAAGCAGTGCCCTGAATCAAGGGAGTGAGCTTCCTACAATCTTCTTGGTTGTCCTCACCACTCTCTATATGGACTTTTTATCTGAGGCACTGCTGCCACGAAACCAAACAGGGATGCAGTTTGTTAAAATGCTCTCAACTGTGCCTCTGTAAAACACTTTTAGTTGCACCTCTGTAAAAAGTGGCCAGGACAGAAGGAGAAAAATGTGCTTGCCTTCTCCGATGCAGGAAATGCAGACACTGATTTGCATGCTTCATTAAGGATGATGTGTGAAGAGACCAGTTCAGATTGTTAGTTATCTGCAACCCCAGATACTTCATACTGCTGACCACCCGTACAGCTGCATAAACCGAGCTAACATGATTTCCATGAGAATAGAAGCTGAGGACCATGGAACATATATATTGTAACGTATCACCACTGGCTCTTGCTGCATGTACTCCCAAAAACTATTGAGTAGTGGTCTCCAACCCCCTTAGAAATGTCTCCCCAGTTTGCAATTTTTAATGGGGAGTTGTCTTTTGATCTGTGCAATTATGTGGCCTTTAATGTGCTTTTAATCTGCACATTGGATTGCCTAGAATCTTCTTTGAGTTGGGCAGCTTTTTTATTTATTTGTTTCTTTGTTTGTTTTATATCGTACTTTGATTATTTTTACAAATAACTCAAGACAGCGAACCTATCCAACACATTTTCCTCCTCTTATTTTCCCTATAACAAAAGCACTGAGCTGGGCTGAGAGAGAATGACTGGCCCAAAGACACCCAGCTGGCTTTTAGGGCTAAGGCAGGACTAGAACTCGCGGTGCCTTGCTTTCTAGCCTGGTGCCTTAACTACTAGACCAAGCTGGCTCTGAGGGAATCACAGTGGTTTAAGTGAATCAGCCGGGGTGGTTGACTGGAAGGCCGTAAAATTGGGTAAAACTCACTTAATACATGTCTCATTTAGCAGCAGAAATTTTGGGCTCTGTTGTGGTCATAAGTCGAGGACCTGTATGTAAATTTTAGTTTTTCTCTCTGTTTTGTTTCCATTTTCCAGGAGATGTTTACAAGCTGTTGCTTCGATACTACAATGAGGAATGCAGGTGTTGCTCTACATCAAGGCCAGAAGTCAAGCTGTATCCTTTCATCTACAATACAGTTGAGTCCTACATGAGCCCTCCCGAGGAGGAGAAAGAGCGGGGTTTGGATGATTAAGAGTGACTGCGCGCCCAACGAATATATTTTTCCTTTTCCCTATAAACTGTCAGTTGGATTGCTGGGTGTCATATATAGTTGTCTGAAGACCAACACTGATATTTGAGAAGAAATCTGTTTTCTTTCCAAAGCAGAAAGTAAACTTGATCAGAGCATACAGAGCATTTCTCCTCCCTCACCAAGAAATGACGGTTGGCAGAAGATTTCCATTCCTTATAGCATTCTCTGAAAATAGATTGATACGGGCCTGCCTTTCTATTTTTATAATTGTCTCAGTGTCCACATACATTTATGTATGGAGTTCACTGGCATAGACTTACGTTCCCCATGCGAATGAGTGATTTCTTTAGCACACACGCCAGTGGTATAACTTTAAAGGGGTAGATGTGAAGAAAAAAAAACCAAAGAAAATATAGAAATATATATATTTTGCATTACATACACAATTCAAGTCATCCTGATTTTTTTTAAATTTAGATTTTACTTTTTCAAACACACACTTTCTTCTGTGTTAAGAAAAGGCAAGAATAACAGAGAAAGAATGAGTTATCCAGACCTTCCCTCTACATGGAAAGTGGCTGGAAGAGGACAGGAAGGGAGAATGGGAAAGGCAGTGGTACATTGGGGTTGCCAAACAGCCAAAGCTACTCTTTGATGTAGACTTACATTGTAAAAACCTATAACAAGGGCCATCTATTTATGATATAATGAAACAGCTTTTCTAAAAAAATCAATTGCACAAAGTTCTTTGCTGGATGTTGTGATCCTGCTAAGAGGCAAATAGACACCTATATTATTTAAATGTACAATAAGAACCGGGACTGTTATACTTAGGGGGTTCATTATATAATGATAAAACCTCTGTGCAGCAGGCATCGGGGTGGATTTGAAGGTCATTAAAAGGGATTGACCACCCATCAGAGCATCAGCTCCACAGAGCAGGCTTGCTCCCTCTTTCCTAGCCTCCTTTCCAAGAAAAAGTTCTAAGAAAAGTTACCTCAGGTGTGGGAGGCAGAAAGGAAAGGAAATTTGGCAAAGAGAGAAGAAGGGAGGTGATCCGCCAGGAGATGCTGTACAAACAGCCTTCTGTCCAGTTGAGAGAGGAGGCCGATGGGGAAGAGAGGCAAAGCAGCCCGAAGAAGGCTTGACTACTTAGCAAAGAAGGGAGACTGGCCAACCATCTCTCCCGCTTCAGAGGGAAAGAGCTCAGGGCTGGAGAGAGGAATGGGCCTCCTGATGGAAGAAGAAGCTCATTCTAGGACAGGTCCACAGCTTCTCATCACATCTTCCAGAATGGCTCCATTCTGGGCCCTCCCCCCGGTGTGGAACACGCCTCCCACAGGCAGCTTCCATCCCCCTCATCAAGGAGGGACAGTTGTGGGATCGTCGTCCAGCCAACAAGCCGATGCAGCCAAAACCGCAGCTTTTCTCTCGGCCAATCCTTGTGGGCACCGGGCAATAGATTACAAAAGCTGGCAGGTTGGGCAGTTGATTCTTGGCTTTTACTGGAGTGCTGGGACCTTGATCTTCTGCTATGTATTCAAGATTCCTTTTGGTAATGGAAAAATAATAAAATCGATAGATGTTTTTCTCCACACCAGCCTTTGGGTATGTTCATTTGAAGGCTCTCCCTTCTAGTTCTTTGACAACAGGTTATCAAAAACTTCATATACGGTGTTGTTTGCATAGGTTTAAGTTGGTGTTTCTCAATCCTGGCAACCCTTAAATGTGTGGACTTCAACTCCCAGAATTCCCAACAGGGCTGGCTGGGGAATTCTGGGAGTCGCAGTTCACACATTATGAAGTGGCCAAGGTTGAGAAACACTGATCTCAGTTGTATGTATCCTATATTTCGTATAAACTTCTGTGGCCAATTATTTAAAGACTTGAAAATGACTTGTTTAATTTTTGTCCAGATTCCCCGATTTTTGGCCTAATTGTGGGGAGAAGGGGCATTTCATTTTCATCACCTCTTGCTTGTATCTTTCTCTTGTAGTAGCTGCAAACCTTCATGGTATTTTCATGGCTACAATTGATGGAAATGCATTCTTTAAAAAAATAAAAATTGATCCTTTCACTTCATGTTCCATGCTCTTGAGAACTGAAGGATTTCTCTACAGTCTGGAGAACCTTAGGTTGTCTAGTACAGTGTTTTTCAACCTTTTTTGTGCAAAGGCACACTTTTTTCATGAAAAAAATCATGAGGCACACCACCATTAGAAAATGTTAAAAAAATTTAACTCTGTGCCTATATTGACTATATATAAAGTAATTTTCCCACGGCACACCTTACACTATGTCACGGCACACTAGTGTGCCGCGGCACAGTGGTTGAAAAACACTGGTCTAGTACAATCCATATCCAAGAGCAAGTTGACTGAAAAATACACACGTTTATTAAAAGACCATAAAATAGTGAAGAAATACCCAGAAGGAAGCTGGGATTAACTAAAAGGTTTAGTTTCAAGAACATGTGAACACCTAAGATAATTTTGAAGGAAACCAAATGAGCTTTGAGTACATATACAACACCAGCAACCACACTTGTTTCTAGTCCATAGCCCCAAAAAGTCCATGTTAACAAGGGCCTTTGTATCCTGGAGGATTTCGCATCAGATTCCTGGGAGGTGTATATTCTTTTCTTTGCAGCTTCTGTCTGGGAAAACTTGAAAATTGTGCTCCTTGTTTTTTAACTTCAATTGCATTTGCTTGTGGATGTTACCAATTGGCCTCATAGATGTTGAATTGTTAAAAGTTCAAAGGGATTATACCCTACACATCAGTTGTGGATGTATTCTGATCTAAGTGGATATCTATAGAAGTTGACATTCCTAAAATTGTATGTTAAAGTTTAAGTAATGTACATCAAGCTTACTTAATTTTTTGTATAACCTATACAAAGTTATATGCAGAAGAAACAACCTGGAAGCTAAAAAGCACACACACTTACAAAGGACTTGAGTGTCTTTCAGAGCTGCTCTACAGTTTAATTGAACACTAACTTTTTGTCCTCACATGTTACACATGAATCGACCCTTCAGTCTATCTGAATATTCTCTTTCTCAATAGAGGTGGAGATAGCATCCATACATGGGTTGACATTGTCCACCTTCTGATTGGACTGAGTCTGATTAAAATTAGTTAAGATACGCTCCTTGTTGCTAGCCTTACCTAGCTTTTTGACTCAGTCCACTTCAGGGACGGTTGTGTCATCGAATATCTCCTGAGAATATTGATCAAATCATTTGGATATTGTGGTCTTGACCTTATTCCAGTGTTTCTTGCTATTGGGACTAAAAATTGACCCTGAGCGGTCCATCTGGGTTGGAGCATTAGGCCTTGGGGCCATAGCTCGCCCTATACCACACTGGCTTGCTCCTGAGGCTCTGCCAGGGCAGGAGAGAGTGAAGCGCTCTTTGACTGGTCACTCACAGTGACTATGTTCCCCACTTGTCTGAACAATCACAACCGTCGCCACAGCTCTCCTCCGAAAAAACATGGCTTTGACAGCTGGAAACAATTGAGGCTTTCAGATTGCCGGCTTGACAGCTCCAGCACAGCTGTCTTTGAAGTGGCTGTGTAGCTACCCCTTCCCTCAGATCGGCTTAACAAAGAGGTAGCTGGAGAGATTGACAGGAGGCGCGTTCTGCGGCGCCACTTCTAAAATAGCTAAGGTGGCCGGAGTGAGGAGAGTGGTGGGTGAGATGGCTTTAAATCGCTGCTGCGACGTTTCTGATTAACCAGCTAAGTCGCACCTCAGCTGCAGCCAGCCCTTTAACTCAGCTGAGTCGGGCTTCCCATGCTTGCCTGAGAGCCAGGAGAGCGATCTGCAGGGAGGCAGGTGAGTGCCCCAGACGAACCAGGGCCATAAGCTTCAGTCTTAATTTACTGTTGAGGCCTCAGTGAATGTTTAAAAAAAGGTGTGAGCCGCCATTTTGTCTTAAGTTACTGTTGAGGCCTCAGTGAACGTTTTAAAAAAAGGTGTGAGGTGCCATTTTGTTTGCCAGAACTACAACTAAGATGGCGGACACTGCTGAGTCAGGAGTCTAGGAGTCAGGACTCTCCTATCCCTCAGGGATTCCTGATGACAGTAGAAATTTCCAACCCCTGGTCTGGCTCAGATCACAAGGGGAAGGAAAACCCTGAGGCAGAGATTGCCCACTCCAAAATTAAAGAGGTCTGGCAAGAACAAAAGCAAAGCAGAGGGCAAAAATGAACCCAAGGCACCTCACAGGCATTCCTCTTCTTCCTCAAAAGAGAATCGGGTATCACAGGCCAGTTGCTTCAGGTCTGTTCAGCCTTCTATTTGTGTGATCCAGACACCTGGTCCTGTTATTAGTCTCCTGTTTCCTATAAACACCTCAGGTCTAGGGGGTCTGGCACTGAATTGCAGGGGCACATTTTGCAAGATGTTCAGTTTGGAGCCATGGGTAACAGACCTGTGACAGCCACTTTCACCCATACAGCTGCAGGGCTCTGCCCTGATATGCCAATGCCTGCTGTGGTGGTACCTAATATTCAGGAAGTCATTTCTTCGGCTATTGCCCTGGGCATAGCGGCTGGCCTGCAGCAGAGGCCTGGGACTGTCCAACTACCGCCTCCTGTGGCTGATCCGCCTACTCTAACAGTCCCATCAGTGCAGCGACCTCTGTCACCAGCTAGGTCCCACAGGAGCCAGTCTCCTATTTCAGAAGATGTGGAGATTAAGGACGGAGAGTTCTCTGGAGATGAGGAGCCTGCTCCAGAAAAAGCCCCATTTTCAGGGTTATTCCAGTTGGTCCACTTAAAGACCTTGTTGACTAAGGCCAAAGCATCTGCTACCTGCATGGCGTTATGAGCTACGCCGACACCTGCATGGTCTTCCCTGTTTTGGCTGCTGCAGCTACAACAAAGAATTCCTGCTACCAACTTGAGGGCCCATCAAGACCTCAATAAGATAGTGGTGGCTGGGGGGAGGAGCCAATGTCGCAACAATACAACGTGCAGTCTCGACAGTCCGAGACCGCCGTTGACACTTTTGCCACTGGATGGTCCAGTTGGACCTAAACCATCCTGTAGAGATGGTGAGCAGGAAGACAAAGCCTTGCTGGTCTCAGGGACATCGCAAAGTCCTTGATTGACCCAAGGGAAGCACTTCAAGCTGTCGGCAAACAAGCAGCCCTAGGCTGACGAAGTCGGAGACGGCTCCGTCTCCGACTTCGGAGGGGGTGGTGTCCAGGGGGCTTATTATTGGGGAAAAGCCATCTTGAACCTACCACCCAAATATTACACCTAGGGGCATGGATTGATTCCATCTCAGGTCAGGTATTCCTGTCAGGAGATAGAAAAGCATTAGACAACTGGTTGGGGAGGTATTGGGTTGGCACACAGTCTCTGTGGCCACCTTATCCCGCCTGCTGGGGAAAATTGTGTCAGCTATTAACATTGTGCCGTGGGCATGTCTCCACACTAGGGACCTTCAGTGGTTTCTCTTACCGTTCCAGAAGGCTTGCAGGGGTACATCACTGCTGAAGGTCACCATTTTGGCGGGCATCCTCCACTCTCTCCGTTGGTGGAAGTTGACTGCCATCACCAGGGGCTTCCACTTCAGGGTGGTTCACAGGGTGACGGTTACCACGGACACCACCCTGTATGGCTGGGAGGCTCATCTGCATGTGCAGATGGCCCAGGGGCAATGGGACCTGGTGGACAGGACTTACAACAAACTGGTTAGAACTCAGAGCCATCCATCTGGCCCTCCAGAGATTCCTGGGCAGTATAGCCGGGCAACATGTGCTAGTCTTAATGGACAACGTGGCCTCCAAAACCCATGTCAACCAGCAAGGCAGCACGAAGTCCAAGATTCTTATGACGGAAACCAGGGATCTGGGCCGCTGGGTGGAGAGGCACTTGGCTTCATTGACTGTGGAACACATCTCGGGGGTGGCGAATGTTTGGGCCGACTGGCTCAGCTGAGCCAAGGTGGACAATGCCATATGGCACCTCCACCTGCATCTCTTCTGACAGATCTCGGCCCATTTCAGATCACCAGTAGTGGACCTATTCGCCACTCCAGACAATTCACAACTTCCGTGCTTTTACATGAGGTTCTGGACAGGGGGTGGAGGGGACAGACACTCTCAGATGGCAGTGGCTCCCTGGCCTTCCCCCCGCTGTCCCTGATTCCTCGGGTGTTGTGCAAGGTGATCACTGAACGGGCAGAGGTGATCCTGGTGGCCCCACATTGGCCACGACAGCCGTGGTTTGCCAACCTACAGACCCTGTTGGTGGGCAGACCCTGAAGGATCCCTCAGACCGCAAGTGCCCTCAGCCAGGGGTCACTGGAGCATCCAGATCCTCAGTGGCTCCAGGTGATTGCCTGGTGCTTGAACGGGACTCTCTGAGGGAGGACAATCTTTCCTCCAGGGTCATGGGCACAATCCAGGCCTCCAGGAGGCCTTCCACGGTCCTCATATATGACACTATGTGGCGTATTTTCTGTAAGTGGTGTGACAAAAGGTCTATTCATTCCCCAACTACCTCTGTGGTAAAGGTATTGGAGTTTCTCCAAGATGGGCTGGAGAAAAGGCTATCACCCAATACCTTGAGATGGCAG